GTAGCCTAATATTAATGCATTAACCACACCTCATCCATTAGGTATCACAGATAAAACAGGAATTGTCATTTCAACATAAACCCTGCAAAGTTGTAAAAAAAAAGTTACTGCCTTCAATTTTTTAAGTACAAACAACTTGGATGTTTAAGTCATTTCAACTTAAATTACATTAAACTGACTTTAAAAAATAGGCGAATCTTGTATAACTTAAAAAAGTTAAAAGTCATAGCAATGTAAAAACATGCATAACAGTGATGGCTATAATAAATATATACCTGGGTGTGCTGAGAATTATGTGTATATGTTCAGTTTTCAGTCATATTCTGAAAATAAAGGTTCTTCAAAGGTTCACAAAAAAAATTCTTATACCAAAAACTATTTTTGTCTTGGGAATTATGAGTTGCTATATTTTTTTTTATTTTTTATTTTTAATTCCTCTTCAAAGCATACAATTTCTTAAAATAACAACATTCTAGTTCTAAAGAAGCTTTAAATAACCTATTCTCTTATGGGATAGACGTTCTGTTAGAACCTTAGGGGTTCCCATTATGGCATCATTTTATGGATTTAGTTGTAATTAATTAATTTAGCTTTAATAATTTTTTTAATTTTAATTAAATGTTATGAATTACACAGCTCGTAAATATAATTCATTACTATATATTTTTTTAAAATAACCTGTTAAACATGAAAGTATCCTGCAATCATTAAGACATTTCTGGGTTCCTTAAAAACTGAGTCACCCTATAGTTCTATATAGAATCCCATTGAAACTTTTTTTAAGAGTGTGAAAACCCTTCTAACGGCAACCTTTATGTTAAAAAGTGTTTAACATCTTAGCACAAACTTTAGGTAAATTAGACCTTTTTTGTGTAGAGCTTTTGCATGCATTTAGACTAACAGTGAGCTAAAATGTACACCTCCAAACCTGCTTTGCAATTCTTAATAAGAAATACTGATATGCCCAATCACAAAAGCTTAACAAGCCTTCAGATGCAATGGTTTATTACGCGCAATTATCATTCAGACAGCCTATCAAAATTCAATCATGCATAAAGGGATTATTAACCAAGAATAATACTATCTCATAATAGAAAATACGTTGGATTGCTTCCCTTCAATTTGTCGTGGCAGTAATTACTATCCAATTTAGAGTCACTGCCTAGCTTATATTTCTGGATGCGCTCAACTGAATGTAAGGACAAAACAAAGAAAGACTTATTTGTTTATAGTTGGACTCAAGGAGTTGGTCCCCGCTGGGTCACTTAAAAATACTTCCGTGCAAAGAAAGTTTGATCATGTACTTTTAAAATAACTTAAAAAAAATTATATGATCATATATAACAACATATGTTTTTTACATTGCTTTAACTCATCAAAATAAGTTAGCAATTTTCAACTTTTTTTATAAGCTATACAAGATTCACCAGTTTAATGCAATTTAAGTTGAAATGACTTAAACATCCAAGTTGATTGTACTTAATTTAAGCTAGCTGTGTGAATTCATTATAAGACTCAATTGCTTAATTGCTTACTGTCAGTATAACTTTACAGCAACATCTTCAGGACAACAGAGACCACCACCTATACGAATTTTCATATATAATGTTCGCATTGTGTCCCTCTGAATCTCACACCAATGAGCCTATGAGGATTTTAGAGCTCAGCGTAGAAAAGTGTAGTCACATTTCAGCAGGAAACCCCCGCAGTTTAGAAGGTGTGAATGTGCGTATGAGGCAAGGAATGTCAAACACACCTATAAAAAAAAGTGAAATGCTTTGCAAGTACTGGACACCTGGGAAATTTGTGACACCGCTGACAGGGTGAGTGAGAAACGGTGATGAGCGGCCCCTAAACAAAAGCGTTTATGATGCTATTTGACAGACACTGTCACTGTGACCTAGGGAGACTTTTTGGCAGAAAGCCAGCGCACATTTGTAGGCATAAACGTTTGCTCTTGCAAAGAAGGGTTAATAAGCGGATATGAAATTATTGCAATCATTTTACTATTCAAGCAGACAGAGTTTCAGCGACGTAAAGGAATCCCGATGATGAAGCAGGTGTTCTCCGAGAGGTGCCATCTGGCAGCAAAATTAGCAGCTTATGAGCCAGGTGCTCTTGTACCAGGGAAGAATCGGAGATGAGCTCCGAAGTGATCTTTTACACGGGCCTCCAGGAGCATGACTGAGCACTGTTGCATAATGAGAGGCGACGACTGGGTGCTCTTTGTTTTGGATTATTTAAATGCGAGGGTGTTTATGCGTGTTGTGTAAACCTATTCTGCAAATATAGGAATTTCCGATCTTTAAATTGGATCATTGCTTGAGTGATCAATAGACTAATTAACCTGTTCGAGATTATTGAGGGTTTCAGAATCCATGTGTTTTCACAGCCTGAACATTAGCTGTTAATCTTCTTGACTGCATTGCTTTTTCACGCTCTTTTAAAGGGATAGTTCAACTTCTAATGAAAATCCTGGCATCATTTACTAACCCTCGTGTTTTGAAGAGCATTGGACCCCACCGCCTTTTATTATGTGAAGACAAAAACAGACATTGCTCAAAACATCTTCTTTTATATAAAGAATTAAAGTCCTGCAGGTGTGGATCATGAGGGTTAGAGAATGATGACAGATTTTTTTATTTTGGTTGAACTTGTATGAAAATAACTAGGTTATTACGCCTCTTACATTTGAGACTAAGGCAACAAAACATAAAGATTAAGCATAAAAAGTCAAATCATATTTAAAAAACAACAACAAAAAAACACCACGACCTTATCTTGACTTTTTCTATTGGTGCTGTTTTGTAACTATGACAGTCAGCTCCCAGTTCATGGGATTTATCAAACGTTATTATAGGCATGCCTAATTTATAGTAAATTATACCGAGCAAATGTGGCAAAATGTTGGATTGATGCTCTAGGGGTTATAGATGTAAACATTGAACAGAACGTCAATCTTGCATGACAGATTCTGAAACATAATACTAAATAATGCCCTTTTTTGATTTAATGATCTCCGTCTATACAGTAGCTGTAATTCATTTAAAAGAAAACAAACTCTAATATTGACAGATTCACCCCTGCATTTCTATAGCATAGTAATATTGAAAATATTTGTAATGACGTATAATTAAAAAGTATTAAAAGTATAACATTTTAAGGATATGTTGTAGGTCCCACTCAAATATGATAAGAAAACAACATTACTGCCACCTTGTGGTGAAAAGATGCAGAGCATACACACACAAAAATAATAAATACACCGGATATTTTCCTTTTCCAGCTTGTGGTGTTCCATTAAAGAATAATGTTTTTCTTAATGATTGCTATTGTCTATGTTGTTCTCAAGACCAAATATTGTCATATGCTTAAGTCTCTTACTGACTTTTCTGGTGGTAATTCGCCTGTACCTTCTCTTTTGTTACAGGAAGTATTATAACAAAACAGATCCAGATCCGGTCCCTTTTTCTAACACCTCTTCTCCAAGCCGTCGAAATTCTGACAGGTGATCCCAGTCCTGAGTCCTCTTCTGATATCTGGTGTGATGTATACAAGACCTGGCAAGAGTCAAAAAGAGAGAACACAGCCTTTATTGCTGAGCAAGGGATGACACATGTGCAGCCACAATGTTCCAGAGTCATTTCCAGCACTGTCATTGTGACATTTACCTTTCCAGCACTTTCCAGAGAGAATAGCCACCTTCTGATAATTTAATATTTCTTGTGATTAGATTTCTTCTTTTTTTTTGTGAACAGATTGAGATATAAAGCCTATGATATGATTTTCTATGTCTTGATGTTAACAGTATGATTAAAATATAATATCCGAATGAAATTCAAGGAAAATTAGTCTTTTTAGTCACAGAGTAATAGTTTGATCATCTATGTACACTTTATAAATATATATATATATATATATATATATATATATATATATATATATATATATATATATATATATATATATATATATATATATAAATTATGCATATTTTTATTTTGTATTATTATTATTATATGCATCCATATTCTTTTCAGTTATATTATTTTTTTCTCTTACGCAAAAAATAAAAATACTACAGCGCACAACATCAAATGTGTTCAAATAATATTCGAGATCGCCATGGTAGTCATTTGTTTTTACTTTTTACTAAGAAAATTGATGAATCACGTCCTCTTGTGGTATTTTCTGGAAATCTCTAGCAATGACGTGATTACGTCAGCCAGAGCGTGACTAGTCAGGGCGTGTTGGTAAAGGCCGCCGGAAGCCAGAAACTCAGAAACGATAAGGAACTCTTAAAACCAACCGCAGTACCGGAAGCACAATTCTGCCAAGCTGCTTTCCACTCGTAAAAGTCCTATAAAATGCCAGTGGAAGCTAATGGGTTTTTTTTTTCCTCGTGGTATAAAATAACAACGCAGATTAGTTATTTAAGATAAAAAATGAAACAATCCGTATGTTTTAGCCTGAAGACATTGATCAGCTAGTTTAGAGGTGTGTTTGATTAGGGTTGGAACTAAACTCTGCAGGACCGACGTTCCCCATGCCCTGATACAGGGCTATAATGATGGCACACCAGTAAACGATCAATAATTGGTTCAAATGTATGGCTACTGTAATGTCAAAGTGGCTATATTTATAGTTTTTAATAGCCTAAAGAATAAGCTTCTATTGAATAGTTTGATAGAATTTACAAGTAGGCTAGAGTAAATCGGTTTTGCAGAAATCAATATTAATGAACTTAGATTTTTTAACAACAAAAACGTGTGAACCGGCCTTACTATGTAACTAATGACTGCATTGTATGCTATCATAATAATCATACGTTGTGTATGATAGCAACAACGATAAAGTGCTATCCAAGACAGTAGAAATAAACAACTTACGTGCTGCTGGTTTGGGACACCCAGCCATAAACTGCAGAATAAACCTCGACTAACTTACTTTTATTTTGAAAAATACAATCCCATGTTGCTGCCAAATTCATACCTCCAGCGATGACATCTCAAAACCCCGCAGACGACTAGAAAAACGCCAAACAAACTGGCTGTGTTCGTTCGAAGCGAAAGGCTTTAGAAAGGACTGGAGGCACGTACAATTGGATTTGTGTACAATTTCGGTAAGATACACATTTATCGTCATGCCAAGTGAAATACCTTGGTTAAAAATAACGTTTTAAACGTAAAACAAACGACAACCAGATATTTTTTTCTATATAACGCTAATGTTAGCTGTTATTTAACGTTACATGCGCGCGATTTTGACTTAAAATGTATTAACGGTGTATGTATTCATTTCACCTTTCCCGGTTCGGTCTTTAACTAAATTATGTTATTGTCTAGTGTATTGTATCTCATTTTAATAACATTTAGGTTGGTGTTTGTTCCCCTTCATATAACGTCAATTGTTTATAATAAATAAGTTAGTTGAGAGTTTTATTATTGTAGTTGAGAGTTGTAGAATTGAGATGTTTCTGATCCTGTATGATATGATTCAGCATTTGTAGTTGATCGCCGCTCAAAGTGAATCCGCTTCCAGATACACAACAGTTACGTAACGTTAATGGCGTTAGCTTATTATGCTAAACAGGATGGATCACCTTAACTCTTGACAGGCCGCCTTCGTCATTTAAAGCCTGTTTTACTCTTTAGGTTGACTCATGATGTTTGTATTGGCAGCTTGATTGATTGGTATGACAACAGGTCACTGTCGGTCAGAGGTGATGGTTTTATTTCCTGTTTCCAGTCCAGCAGCTGAAGGCTTTTCACCGCTGTGCCATGGAGTTTCCTGATCTCGGGGAGCACTGCTCAGAGAAGACCTGCAAACGTCTCGGTATGTGTTTTCTCTCAGAATAAACACTGTGACCCATATAGCATGCCTCAATAGTACAGGCCGAGTAAGTTAGTCTTATTGGCCTGGTCAGACTTGTTACTTTGCCTGTCAACATTTTCACTGGCCTCAAAAAATGATACGCTATTTTTGAACAATACAGTATCTTTCAAATGTTTGGGGTCAGATTGTTTATTTGGCTGAAATTAATGCGTTTTTTCAACAAGTACAAATTAAGTTGGCAATAAAGACATGTATAATGTTACAAAAGATATCACTTAAAATAAATGCTGTTCTTTTGAATTTTCTATTCATCAAAGAATCTTGAATACAATCTATAAAGGTTTACACAAATTAAGCTGCACAATTCATTCTAATATAATTCATAATATGAATAAAGAAATGTTTCAGCAGAAAATCATAACATTAAAATGATATCTGAACTGGATCATGTGACTGAAGTCTTCGGCATCACAAGAATAAATTACATTGTTAAAATATATTTCTATTACAGTTGTGATAATATTTCACAATATTACTGTTTTTACTGATTTTTCAATCAGTAAATGCAGCCTTGGTGAGGCAGAGCAGAAGAGTCTTTTTTTAACAGACCCCAAACTTTTACATTTTCACTTTTACAAAACTACATTTATTTCACAAAAACAATTATATAGCCTAGAGTATTAGCTTTTTCTTTGGCAATAATAGTTGAAACTTGCACAGCTATAAACTCCATGACAGCTTTGTAAATAATAATGTAAACCAGAAAGGGTGATAATAATCATTAGCCTGCTTATTACTTATAAACTGTCTACCAAATAAATAAATAAATGAACATGAATGTTGAGTTTTCTGGATGAGCGGTTATACAGTGTTGCTTTGGGCATCGGCCATTTTCTGAAGTATTGGAGAGCGTGGAATAAAAATTCCAATACACATGATGGCATTCCGGGCAAAAATTGTTGATAATTTCAAACCTGTTTTTAACTAATGCTTCTAAGCCTATGAAAAGTCACACTCGCTTTTTCTACCATTAGGCCATCATTATTGTTGAGCCCTGTACAGCATGTGAATTATTAATGTTTGTATATGGACTTTACATGGTGAATGGCAAATACGTTAAATTACATTAGGTGTGGCATTTCCTCTTTTCTGACCTTGTTTATAACCACAAAATCTAGTCCTGTGATAAACCAGTATGTCAGCCCAGTCATTTAATTGTGCAGTATTCAGTCAAGTTGATCAAAAACATAATAATTGTCTGATAATTGTAATAATTGTCTGATAATTGTACCCTTATTTATGTTGTGTAGTTTCAGCGATTAGTCATATTATTTGCCATAAATTATTTACACACACTTGAACAGCCATCACCGACTGAAAACCCCATATAGGTCACTAAGAAGGTTTATAACATTGCTGTGCTCTTAGTGATTCAGCGTTAGTTGATGTATAACACTGTTTTGGTCTTTTCATAATGTCCTGTTTGTACGCTACAGATTTTCTTCCTATGAAATGTGATGCCTGTGAAGAAATTTTCTGCAAAGACCACATAACTTATGCAAATCACAAGTGCACTTCATCATATAAGAAGGTGTGTATAATTGTCTAATGAATAATAATCTTGCCCCATTGTATATTTAACTAATGCTTAAAACATACAAGTTGTGGCTGATACATGTTTGTTTTCTTGTGCAGGACGTCCAGGTTCCTGTATGTCCGTTGTGCAACACCCCCATTCCCATTAGAAGAGGGGAAATGCCAGACATCAAAGTTGGGGAACACATAGACAGAGACTGCAAATCTGACCCTGCTCAGAGGAAACGAAAGGTAGCACGAAAGCAAAAAGTCAAGTCACCTTTTTTTATATAGTGCTTACACAATACAGATTGTTTCAAAGCAGCTTCACAGTGATAATAGGAAAAATATTGCATTCCGGCTGTTGTTCAGCTGGATTCAGTGTTGATTCAGTTCCATTGTAAAGATGATCAATTATTCCATTTATTATATAAAGCAGTTTTGCAACAAAAAAAAAAGCCGTCATCCAGGTCAGTCCTCATACTACAGCGTCAGTACAGTCAGATCAATAATATTGTTGAATATTAAGTGTCCCCAACTAAGCAAGCCAGAGGCAACAGTGGCAAGGAACCCAAACTCCATCAGATGACAGAATGAAAAAAAAAAAAAACCTTTGGAGAAACCATGTTCAGGCATGGCGCCAGTTCTCCACTGGCCATGATTCAGGCTGCATCACAAGTCGGAATTCAGATCGGAATCGGTAGCATTCAAATATTCATCCAGTTCCCTTTGCTTGAAGATCGGATTCATCACACCGGTATGGAGCCGAAGCTGGTCAAAGGTCTGTGCGGTGGACCTGTCTGGTTCTTGTGGTCTTTGTTCTCTTCTAAGACAGTTAAAAAAAGTAAGCAGATCTAGCAGTTTTGAAGGCCTTTCTGTATGCAGTAACACTTTCCTTCCACAACATGCAAAATACCTCTAGTTTTGTTTTCTTGCAGCTGCGCTCCATTTTTCTGGCTGCTCTCGTGAGAGCCCGAGTGTGCTTGTTATATCACAGCATCTGACAATTTTCTTTTTATCTTCTATAAGTGCAAAAGAGCAACTGTATCTAAAGTGCTGGAAAAGAGAGAGTCAGTAGTTTCTGTTGCAACATCCAGTTCTTCCGAGCTATCTGGAATGCAGAGGAGTAGAAACTGATCAGGAAGATTATTCCGGAAGCAATCTTTAGTTATAGTTAGAAGTGATAGTTCTCCCATATTTGTTACAGGGAATTGGTTCCGCAGCCTTGGCTAAATGTAGTAAACACGAGACTAGATAATGATCTGATTCTGAGATGTCATTGCTCTGCATGTTTATTAAAATCACCAACAGTTAAGACTTTGTCTGCAGCCTGTACTAATTCCATTAGAAAATCATCAAATTCTTTGATAACATTTTTATGGTGGCCAGTACAAATGTAAAATGGGATTTATCACTTAAAGGTGCTATATGTATTTTTTAGCGGCCTCTATCGGTGATGTTTCAGATTGCAACCAATTTTTACAAGAGCGCTCGTGCTCTTGCGCGTGCTCGAACACAAGAGCGAGCACTCATGGTACCGGTGTTGTGCCGAATTTCGAAATAATTTGGCAGGGGGTCGAAATTCGGCACAACACACAACATGCTGGAAACTCATGTAAACTCCCACTGCAATGTTACAATAATAGGCTACCTTTATCAGCTTGACGTTGAACTAATGCTCCATGCTCGTACCATGATAACGTTACATTGACTGCATTTAGCCGACATGTGGTGATAGTAGTGGGATGAGTAACGTTACACAGTAGATTAGTACATAAAATAAAAGTTACATCCTAAAGCACCTACTTTTTGTTATCCTGGAACAGTATTTTGTATTCATTTCATGTCTCATGTATGTTGTAGTTTACCTTGCTATTTCATTAGTTTACCATTATTTATTTCAGCATATCTGAAAACTTGTAATTTATCACAATAAAAATAGCGGAGGTCTCTCTTAATTCAAACGCTCTGCCAATGTTGATCCGTGTTTTCGTCCTAAGTCGATCCGATTCACGTTTGGCCTGACGAGCTTCAGCAGATACATTTTTGTTTTGTTTTTTATATTTATGTGGAGTTTGTGTTGGAGTCTGTGTTGTGCTGGAGGCAGGTCGTATAGACTGTATATAAAAAGAGCGGGCATGCACGTCACATCCGATGGATTTCGCAGAAAATCCGACCCGGAGATTCACATAGAAATAGGAATACTGGCCTTCAGAGGTAATAGCAAAACCCGACAAGTGGATCATTGTAATATGTGATTACAACCCCTTCACACACAGGCAATAAAAAAAGGATTCATTTTAGAAGAAAAGTTACATATAGCACCTTTAACACTGGATAACGTTACATAAACTTGAAAAGAATTATTGTCTGAGTACTACTGGAAATACGGTACTACTATAAATTACAGCAACAGGAAAAAGAGAGAAAAATATGTCTCAGCAAAATCTATACTGACCTGATTGTTTCCCCCCCAACAGATATTTACAAATAAATGCTCCAAGGGCGGCTGTAAGCAGAAGGAAATGATTCGGGTGACATGTGACCAGTGCCACTTGAACTACTGTCTCAAACATAGACATCCACTCGACCATGACTGTAAGACTGACAGCAAGCCAGTCTCTAAAACAGGGTAAGCATAGTAGTTTATTTTTAATAATGATAAGTTATGCTTTCTGGAGGGCTAGTACACTAGTAATAGTGGGGTTTGTTTTATTAGGCATGCTGCTTTATTGAGGGCTCAAGCCTCCTCTTCTAGTAACTCTGGGGCGTCATCCACTAGAGGGAGCTCTAGGACCATGTCTAATGGAGTAACTGGAAACACTAGACCTCAGAGCAGCAGGTAAGCATTTTTGGTGTAAGCGATGCCCTCAGAAATGTCAAGTAAATATATACACTAATGTTCAGAAGTTTGTGGTTTTGCTTACCTAGGCTGCATGCATGTGGTCAAAAATACAGTAAAAAGTGTAATGTTGTGAAATATTACAATTCCACTCACAAAAACGTTTTTCTATTTGAATAGTTTAAAATGTAATGTATTCCTGTGATGGCAAAGCTGAATTTTCAGCATCTTTACTCCAGTCTTCAGTTAGTCACATGGGCGCTCGCTGCTGCATAAGCCGTCACATGGTAGAAATGTCCAAATACAAATGTGTTCAACAATCTGAAAGAAGTCGAGCCATTTCTTTGTTGTTCATTGCTTACACTAGAAAAGGCAAAAAAACGTATTACATTGTTCAGTTTTCTCCCTGAACGAGTGCGAGTCACTATGGCTATTCTTGATGCAGCACGAATGAACTACAAGGGTGACATTTTTCACAATCACGATAGAAAACATGAATAGTATCTTTGATGAATGTAAAGTTTAAAAGACCAGCATTTAATTGAAATGCAAATCTTTTGTAACATTATAAATTCACTTTTGATCAGTTGAATGTGTCCTTGCTCATTAAAATTACTTTTACTAAGTCTTACTGATCCCAAACTTTTGAACGGCAATTGAAATAACACACATTTTGAGTGTTTTCTCAGGTACTAAATTACTGTTTGTTGCCCCTCAGTACACTTTGGACATCTCCTGCATCTCCTCCCATGGTGTCTCCCACAGCACAGAATGTAATTCCCTCATCAGTGTCATATCAAGGCGGGCTGGTGCGTTGCTCATTTTGAGATGGTTTAAAGGTTTACAGTGTTTTTTTTAAAAGTCTATGTTTGAGTGTCTTTGAAACATGCATTGTTGTTTTATTTCACAGACGGAGGAGCAGGCCCTCCAGAGAGCATTAGAAATGTCACTGGCTGAATCTGCTCGAACAAGCCAGCCTACTCTAAGGTATTTCTGAACTCTTCTGGCCAAACAATAAACATTTAGACTTTTAAAATGACTATTGTTAAACAGTTCAGATTAAATGATTCCATAATTTTTTTTAAATTTTTTTTAAATACCGGAAAATTAATAGGTTGACATTTGGTTCTTTTAACGGTTCTGGAACGTTTGCAAGATTGTAGCTAGATGCAATATACATTTGAACATTTATCCAATAAATGTTGAAGTGTAACTGCCGATTTTCAACTCGCTTTGTATTGTTACAGTGTAGGTAGTATATGTAAATGAGCAATGTTTACTCGTTCTCCTTGTTACCTGGACTGAGATATTTACGTTTATTTGTCAGCAAAAAGACTTTTGACAGGGTCAGGGCTTTTGTGAAAACTACAGATTTTACTTCCGCGTTTTTATATCCTTGCCCCCGGACCGTCGGATCGACAGAGGGTTATTAACACTGTATTTCACTGTACGAAAACAGAACTCGGTGAATCCAGACATCATATTTAAAGCTACATTCCGCAGTTTTTCCTCTTTGTCGCCATGTTTGTTCGAAATCTGCAATTGCAGTTATTCGCCTAATTATCAACTTTACGTGAGTTGTACTTCGACACGGCACAGCGCGGATGAACACAATGTTTGAGGAGAGTGTGCAGCTGTCAGTCGCCGCACCGGTGTCGATACTGGCATTCAGAATCACAGATGATTCTTTTTGGAAGTATGACCAACATAATAATTTTCACCGGAAAATGTCATCTGAACTAGTAAAATTCTAAAATCTTGCTAAGAAGCATTTCCTACTATAGCAGTAGAACCGATTTCTTTCTCTTTTTTTTTTTTGCTTTCCTACTGTATAGGCAGCCAAGTTTTATTAAAAGCCCATTTTGCCAGCACTTTAAGCAAAAAAATATATATATATTTCCTGTTTTTTTTGTGTGTTTTTTTACTTAAATCGATGCTGATAACTGACTGTGTGCATTTCAGTCCTCAGGAGCAGGAGGATCTGGCCATGGCTCAGGCCCTCGCTGCTAGTGAGGAAGAATACAGGCGACAGCAGCAGAGACAGGTAGCCAGAAACCCTTACAGTCAGTAGCATAGCATGCTATGCTAACAGGACCTCATCTAGGTACATGGCCCAAGTGGCATCTCTGTTTATGTCTAATCTTTTGGGTGCTGGGCATACTGAAAAATACTGAAATGGTTTGTATTTTTTAAGCATGTAGTTAAATATTATGAAGAATCAACATCTGACACATTGAAAGTGGGTGAGCGGTAACATCTGGGCTGCATCTGGGAATCCAATAACATTGTACTATTTAAAAACAATATGTTTGGTCTATCAATTTTTTGGTGGGTGCAATTGAACTGGCCTAGGTTTACATGTGTTATAATTTCAAATAAGAGAAAAGATGATTCCATGAATTGCGCTTTATAGTATGAAATTGAATAAACATTTGTATGATAGTTGTATAACTATCATCTTGTTAATAGTGATGCACCTAAATAAATGTCCTACAAAATAAACACCCAAACTGAAGTTAAAGTGTTCATTTAGCCAAAAAATTGAGTGTATTTAATAGTCAGTTAATCAAATTTATTTAATAATCAACACTAAAATAAATATTGAGTTGCATATCAACATTTAAATTGCACATAAGGCAGTTTTTATATAAACCTTTAATGATGTAGTTATAGTTTAAATATTTATCATTTAAACAGTGGCTGTAATAAACTTGTTTCCATGACAGAATTATTCAAACATGCATTAAATAATGACGGCAACAGGTTAAGTAAAAATATAATGAATATGTTAAAGGGTATATATTTAGTAAAATGCTCCTGTCTAGAGGTGTTTTTTGTATTATTATTATTATTATTATTTATTTTTTTAAGCTAACTAGAAAAACTCTAGCTTTGGTCACTGAATGACTTTGCTGAGGTAAATGTATCATTACGTGACGTTGTTTACAAGCGGTTTTATTGACTTCTTTCTATGGTTAAAACACTGAGTGGTTACATGAGACATTATACACTTCAATAAGTTATATTGTTTCTTTCAACATACCTTCTGGTGTTCATTTGTTTATTTTGTGCTGTACCTAGTGGTAAAGAGGAAGAAATGAACAGTTCATGTACCGCTTGAACTGAGACTCAACACATTACAGAGCCACAAAACAACATTAATTGTTTAAATTTCATTCTAGATTAGACAAAAATTAAAAGCTCTTTTTCATACTCTATCAAAAGTTTTTTTTTTTTTTAAAGCACAAAGCTTATGATGACAGGCGTGCTTTAAATTACGTTTATTGAAGTTTTATTCAGGCATCAAATGAAAACAGCATAGCATTTCTGTTAATGATTTCAGCCTGAAAACTTCGACTGAAAACAAAAAATCATTTTCGGACGCTAAAATTTCAGTGCATCACTACTTGATAAAAATTAACGGATTTGTGGCTGTATGAAATATTTGCAGATTTTGTTGCTTTAAAAAATGTATTTAATCAGAATACACCATTTTTTTTAATGGTCGTAAATGAAAAAACAACATGATTTGCACCCCATGAGCTAACCAGCCAAACCTCAAACCCTCATTTAGTTGTTTTAAAGACAGCACATGGGCTGCATGTTGGTCAATATCAACCAGGTTTGAAAGATACTACTACTACAGTGATTGAATACTTGATCTCTAATTGTTTTTTCATTGTCTTCTCAATCCACAGGGAGGCGTTTCAAAACAGTCCAGCTGCTGCCTGTCTTAATGTGAGGTGGCACTGACCAACTTTAATCTGCCTCAATCTGCACATAAGCACCAATAATGTACCAGTGAGCTGCACATGTGGATTCCTCAGTCCAGCATATAAAGCTTCTACTTTCCAAATCAACACATCTGAAGGCTGTTATGTTGTCAAAGTTTTTCTGTTTTGCGTCACTCTTTAGCGTGCTTCTTAGACAGGCAATTGTGCCGTTTTGGCAAGAGGTGCTTCATGTAAATATTTTATATAGTTATCATGTTAATCTGTCAATCAGTGTAGATGTCTTTTGAAATAAATTATTTTAAAGTGCTTATTTCACTCTCTACTCTATTGGTCACACCTTGAACGAGTTAAATGTAAGCTGTGTTAGTTTGCAAGGCAACGTATATAATTCGGAAAGGCATTTACCTATTAAAAGGATTTAAAAAATACAAGAATCCCAAGATCATGAAACACATAATTCGCACAGATGAATAACCCTCCCCTAAACCCTAATTAGCCACCTATTTGCCAAAATATAAAATATTTCCAAATTTCCATGAAACTTGGCATTTCCTGTGAAATCCGTCCCGAGTGGTCAACACCATAAATCATTGTTATAGGTTAATCAAAGGGTATTTGGGTAAAGACATGGTTTGGAAGATTTTCCTTTTCTCTTTTTACATTATAGGGATAGTTCACCCAGAAATGAAAATTCTGTCAGTAATTACTCTACCTCATGTTGTTCCAACCCCGTAAGACTTTCATCTTCGGAACACAAATTAAGATATTTTTGATTAAATCTGAGAGCTGGATCACTCCTCCATAGCCCTCTTAAGGGAGCAAAACTGGCCGGCCCAAAAGTTATGAAAGACATCGTTTAAATAGTCCGAGTGACTACAGTGGCTCAATATAGTGAAACTACGCAAAGCTTCTAGGTTGTACGTCACACGCATCACACACATGACCAGCGTCGGCCAATAGTGAGCCTACGTGTGACGTGCAACCTAGAAGCTTTGCGTAGTTTCACTATGTGAAATATCACGGCCGTACAGGGAAGGAAATGAATAGTTGAATAAAGTCGTTATTTTTGTTTGTTTTTTTGCGCACAAAAAGTATTCTCGTCGCTTGATAAACTTAAGGTTGAGCCACTGTAGTCACTCGGACTATTTTAACGATGTCTTTCATCACTTTTGGGCCGGTCAGTTTCGATCCCTTAAGAAGCCTATGGAGGAGTGATCCAGCTCTCAGATTTAATCAAAAATATCTTAATTTGTGTTCCGAAGATGAACGAAAGTATTACGGGGTTGGAACAACATGAGGGTGAGTAATTACTGACAGAATTTTCATTTTTGGGTGAACTAACCCTTTAATAGCCTCACATTTTGTTTTGTTTTTATCAAAAGTCTAGCTTTAAAACAAACTCAACTTACCCAGCAGATCCGTCAGTAGAACCAGAACTGGTGGTTTGTCTCGGAAAAAAATGATTAATGTTTCCAATAAAGACACTGTCAATCTGTCAACTGAGGTGAGTCACAATATGAAATGCTGATAGATTAATGGGCATTAATATGCATTTTTGTTTTTTAAATGCTGGCAGCACTGCAGAAATCTTTTTGCTTGCTGTTATTGTGCTCTCCAAACATGAAAAATAAAATAATAGACTTGGATTCTTTCTTAAAATCTAGGATCTAGGTAATCGCATCAATTATGAGGCCAAAACGTTCACATAATGATATAACCCATGCATTAACACAGAAAAGCTAAGTGCTATAGCACGTCAGAGCACCATGCCTCTTCATTCAGGGTCATTTAAAAATTACACAGACCTCACTTACACAGAGACAATTATAGATAATTACCGTACACTAATTCATATTCCGATCAGTTATTTTTTGAGTGTCATTAAATGTACACTGTAGTTTTTTGTTAAAAATTAACCAAATTTAAATAATGAGCCAATATATCATAAATCCTTCCAAAACGTTCCAAAAGTGTTTTTGTCTAACCCTGATTCACTATGCTTATAAGTGTTTATAATTTAGACCTGACAGGATGGTTTTCGTGGGGAATTGCATACATACGTCACTCGCCTGTGTGTGTCTCGTCATGTCCGGAAATAGAGAAAAGTTGCTCCAGCGAACTAGAAAGGTTGACATGGAGCAGCCAAATCTTGAACCTCCGGTGAATCACATATTTTAAAAACACGCCAACCAGGAGAGTCTGCTGGGAAAAAGAGAACGTGACAGAGCTCGTAATAAAACAAGAATCAACATCACCTTGGCTTTTCGGAGATGGCGTGAACTGAGGGATTTGAAATGTTGTAAAACTGATGCAGAGATGGAGTTATTACTCAACAGGTGAGTAAGATATTTCATTGAATAGATACATTTCCCTAACAGAGTTCATTGTAAAGCATTACCTATTGTGAAGGATAATTTCAGTATGGTTGTTGTAGCGTTGTGCTGGAATTTATTTTCAAAGAAGTACCGTGATTATTAATGGATAAAGCTACAGTAAAGTCTTCAGCTAGTCAACTTGAGATCCTTTCCATCTAAACTGGTTATATCTCTAAAGCCTAGTAGTGAATGTTTTATGAACAGTAGGATAACCATATTCATCCGCACAGTCACGCAGACCCAAAGCACAACCAAAACAATGTTCCTCCGCAAAATGCATGCAGTTTTGTTTTTTAACCGCTAGAGGAACAAAAGTTACATAGTGTACCTTTAAAGACATCTCTGTATTTCTGGTAAGCATACTGGGAAACGTCATGCCACCACGTTTACAGAAGTGAGGACAGAGGTTGTTTTGAGACAGATTGATGATGGCAATGTTGGGGAGATCACAGGCGCAGGTGGGTTTGAGTTAAAGGTGTTGTTTTCTCTGAGCACAACATGGATTCAGGCTTGTTCAAATGTGTGCATTCATTCCTCATCGTGACAGAAGTGCACTGGGTGCTTTTGCCGTCTGTCTGAATACATTCCCATCACGGAGTCTGAGAGGCAAACACCAGTCCACACTAACGGCACCAGCCATAGTCTGCAGCTGTGACACTGCAAGCATCTGTCAATATTTACAAGCTCTTCTAAACTAAATTGCGTCAATTCAGCCATAGAAGGAATTTGTCCCTGTTGTACTTGCATTGCAGTTCATTACAAGTCATTAAGGGAATGCTAATGGAATTTCATAATTTGGAAATAACCACAAAGGGATGAAATAAAGTCCACCTACAAATTAATGTAAGAATCAAATAATTTTTTCAAAATTAAGTTTATCGTTAGTATAAGATCGTCCAGGCCGTCATCCGCAACTTGAAACAAACACATGAAAATAGCACTGCAACATTTTGTGTAAGGCATCACAAATGATAAGTTCAATGTCTTTGTCTCTCTTTCAAATAAACTATCCTTCGAGGGATTTCACAAAACGGCATTGTTTAGTCTGTTTACATATTTTGAAGGGCTCCAATATGCCTAATGCACTTCAGCTTGGGATAAATTCATTATATCATCATCAATCTCTGGCAAAGCCCCCCTAGCATTGTGGGGGCGAATCTTGCATGGAAAGCATTACTCACATTTCCTTAAATGTTCAGATCTAGTTGCATTTTTTTTTTTTTTTTTATGTGCATTTTGATTAAAGTTTTCACCACTCAAAAGTTATATGTTAAAAGTTAGAAGTTGTAATACATTTATACAGCAATGATACACTAAATTGAGCAAAGTGACATTTATAACGTTACACAAGATTTCTCAATCAAATAAATGCTGTTCTTTTGAACTTTCTATTCATCAAAAAGCAGCACAACTGTTTTCAGCATTGAGAATAATCAGAAATGTTGCTTGTGTTGTGCATCAAATCATATTAGAGTGATTTCTGAAGGATCATGTGACACTGAAGACTGAAGCTTTGACATCACAGGAATAAATTAAATAGTTATTTTAAATAATAATAATATTTAAAAATTGGACTATTTTTTACTGATCTTACCGACCTCAAACTTTTTAATGGTACTGTATATAAAGCAACATTTAGGAGTTTGTAGAATTTAAAGAGGTCAACATGGATAAGATACATTTGCTACAAAAACAAAATGATTGATGAAATGAGTAAAACAGTCAAATAAGGCCTTTTCATCATTGTCTTACAGTTGTGATATATGGCTATGCCAAGTCCTTTCACTTTTTTTATTCTGGTTATCTTATCTGCAGTAGCAATGATTACAACCATCATATTCCCCTTTTCATTCATAAATCAATAAATCTAATTTCGATTGGCAATTGGGTCATTTCGTGTCAAATGAACCACATTTCCGAAACTCCCCTGGCACATTTTTTTTATATTGTTTATATTTATTTGAAGAAAGACAAACATAAATGAAGAAGAAAGCCAGAATATTAAATGTCATGGATGTATATTGACTGAGTAGTCCACTATTTTGTAGAGGCTGGTCAAAATTACAATTTTCCCTTGAGATTCAGAGCCAAATTACAGGAGGGTAAAAAAGACTTTAGAAAGATGGCAGCATCATTATTTTATTTTTACACAGAGATTGGTAGGTCTGTTAGTAAAATCTGTTGACTTTAGCAATCTTTGTTGCATTATATGCCAACAGTGAAAGTTCAAAAATGAGAAAAAGCACGTCTTGTGTTTTTCACCCGAAGGTTTGCATGCCTGTAACTCAAGAAGTATTAAAGATATCTTAATATCCTTTTAGAGTCTAGCTCTTAATAAACTTTTCTTGTGGAATCTTACTTTTTAAGGCTCAATATGGTTAATTTCCAGGGATATGGGGATCTCAATGTGGCTCCAAGAGTAAATTGGTCAATTGTACACATCTTCAGTGGTCGAAAAACAAATGTGGGTCGATTTGCATACAGCTGATTTTAAAACAATCAATAACCCAAAAAGTATGTGATGAGAAGAGGGTTCTTTGCTGAACATAGTGCAGTTTTATAGTTCATATATCAGCTTACTGTGCAGCGTAGCAGTTATGAGCTGATCTGTTCATCCAAAAGTTGCAGGTTCAAACCCCCAATGGCATTATCCGATGTCAACAGTTTACTGTATCAGTAGTAAGTGCGCTTCAACTTGCATGGGGAAAAAATAAACAAAAATAAATAATGTGTAGGGGCATACAAGAGCATTTTAAGCAAGACTTCAATTTTCTTGTCACATAATCTGCTTTAGAAAAGAGCATAAACTGCTTTGTATTCAGCCTTTCTCCAATGATTACAGTCGTAAGTGAGACGGGTCACTGTTTACTGAGCGCTGTGGAGTTTAAAGAGAGCCTCCATTTCCCCTGGCTTAATGAGTGGGAGGGCAAA